ACGCCCGGTGTAGTGCCGGACCGGAGTGCCGGTATTTGGCGGGCACAGCAGCACTTTCAATAGCGTCCCGTTACTGAGGCTCGCTGATGTAACTATTGCAAGAATTTTAGTCTCACAGGGAGACCATGCGATGTTGAAGGTTGGTTTTGGTCCGTCGAAATTAGGAGTAGTAGCTTGGACCCTACTCGAAACCACAAGCAAGCTATGATTGAATGTTGTGAAGGGCAACAAGCCGCGGCGGTTTCCTCAAGCAAGGGTTGTGTTGAAAGCGGCGGGCACTTCTTCGAGCCATGCCGCGGAGATTACATTAGCAAGCGATTCGAATGTCATTGCACATAGTCTAATGCTCGCACATGATGAACATGTCGTACAGCAGTACAACAACAATGAGTTATCCCACCTCACATAGTCTACTACTTTGCGCCATAGATGGACTTTTTTTTATAGTCTAATACCAAACATGAATCTTGAAGTATTTTGTACTAATACTACTAGACTACTAGTCTACTGTAGAAAATACCTACTAGTAGTCTATGTGATGATCGGCTCATGACACGACTATGTAACGAGCGTGCGCTTGGTTAGATAGACTGTACAGTCTATGCACTGTATAGTCTAGATAGATAGGCTACCTACCTACTCATGACCCGGTGATCACTGGTTACCCGATCATCAAGACAAAAAACATCATGCTTGGGTTATTGCTCTCCATCACTCACTAGTCTCCAGATCTCAGAAAGAAACACGCGCAGTCTACTTCATCCTCTCATCAAACGTAAAGCCTGGGTGCACCCGCAACGAAACCTACTACAGCAGCGGCGGCATTTGAAGCCCACACTGGAGGAATTCAAGAACTTCAGCCTTGGCCAAAACTCTACATAGTCTTAGGTCATGACGTCAAGTAAGTGCGGGCGCTGTCTGCCTGTGTTTGACCAGTCCACAAAAAACATATGGTATGTTCTGCATGTTTAGTCTAAGTATGTAGCGTTGCAATATAATGATACACTCCCGACCCACGATCCTCCCCCCCGGTGTTTGGCATCGGGGTAGTTTCCGTCGCTTGGCGACAAAGTTGTACGACTAGCCGATCACTTCGTGAGCTCGGCAACCAGGTTGCCGCTTGGTTTTATTTTTGCGGTAAACAAAATGAGTGGTGGTCGCGTAGATTATGTTGTGCGGGTTCGAGAACCCTCACTCCGTGCAAAGGGGACGATCGCACCACGTTGTGTCAAATTGGTTAAGCACCCTCGACGCCGTTACACAGTGCTTACAACTGTCTCTGGAAGTGAAAGCACCGAAAAACAAATAAATTCAGTAATTCGCAGCTGTCATTCGTACGCAAGGAAGTAAGCACAAGATGCGGCGAGCACCGTTAGCAGGATGCAGCGCACCCTTCATGCGACTCGCCTCCTCAAGGCTCTTCGCGCTTGGTGATGTGAGAGCCTGGTCCGGTGAGAACCCGGCGTGCTCCGTCCCGGCTTTGTAGGAGTGCTGGGTCAATGGTCTGACGACCACGGCATGCACGATTATGAGTACAACACTCCACCCCCTACTTCACCTACAGCTGGCCTCCTTCCTCCTTGGTATGTATCGCGAAGCGTGTCGTCGTGTAGTCTAGACTACTACGCTGTAGTCTCATTTTTTTTTCCATGTGATGCGACTCGCAGTTCACCCTCCTCCCCCTGATCGACTCCAAAAGTGCGGCATTTTCTTTTCATATGTAAGGGTGCGAAGTAACCACCGCCGGTTGTTGTCAAGTCCTTCCTTTTCGCAGGCAGTTGTTTTTTCCCGTATCAACCGTCTGTCAACTTCTTCGTTTAGAGTAAAGGCGGGTACTAAAGGCCACTTGAGCCGCCCCCTGCGCTAAGAGCTCGTTCTTGAACAGGAAATCGACTTTCGAGTATATTGTGGTATCGAGCGATAGGTAAGATCACCCCCCGCCTACCTAAAAAATAAAGAGAAAAAAAAATCGTCGACAGTGAGGAGGTAGGGCTGGAGCCGTAGACCTGAGCTGCAGGCGCCATTTTAAGAGAAAATTACCCCTGGGGGGATTAAAGGCAACTTTTATCATCGGTTGATTTCGTACGTTTGAAAGCGTTTCAAGACCCGAGATTTGGTGGGCATGCGTAAAATACAAAAGGAATAAAGAATTTGTAAGAAAAAACAAAAATGATCGACATCCGGGGATGAAAATGACGTATCCCCGGGTTTTCGACACTATGGGTAGGGATGGGTTTTTCCCTCCGTGACCTGAATTGCGTGCTCTGTGCGTTCAGAACGAGGCAGAACAACCAGTTTGGTCCGTAAATGTGTTATTCCAGTCAATAGACTACTCGAGAAAAAAAAATCACGGCGAAATGAGTTGTTTACGTAAAAAAGTGCTTGGTCAAATATGGGTACTTTTTCCTGATTTACATATGTAGCATGCCGCTAACGGTCAGAATTCACGCCGAGCACCGCCAAACTGTATCCACCATTGAGGAATACTCATTCATCCCCACGACACAACCTTTGGAGGGGATCTTTAAACATGAGTGAGAAACATGTTCAGAAAAAAAAAAGGCACCCCGGGGACAGAACCACCGCATCCCCGGGTTTTCGGTCAAAACCATGCATCCCTCCCCCCCCCGGTACAGGGACGCACGAACATCCCCATCAAATAGGGTACGAACCACCCGATGTTTTTACAGGGTATGTTTCGACTGTACGCACACTTCCACGCCCATTGGAGCACACCCGATGATATATTAAAGGTCAAACAAGGATACTTTTCCCGATTTTAGGCTTGCCGCTACGGTAAGAATTAACGCCGAAAACAACAAACTGTAGTTCCAAAACACCTTTGCACCCCCGCGACGAGTGCTTATGAAGGAACCTGAAAGCATGAGTGAAAAACATCTATAGCAAAACACACACACACACACACACACACACAGGTCACCCGGGGACAAAATGATGACATCCCCGGGTTGGGTTCGAAACCTGTGCATCCTGCCCCCCCGGTGCTGGCACGCCCTAAAATCACCGTCGCATAGCCTACGAACCACATGCGACGTTCTACAGGGTGCATATCGACTCCGGGTACAACTTCACGACCATTTGGGCGTGTTCGATTCAAATCTGAACCGGTCAGGACACGTGAGAAATATCCATACGGCTACACGTCGACAACGGGTGTCGGCGTACGTTGTCGTCCAACCCTGGACACGGAGGGCGCTGGCTGACGTTCCGACAAAGTGGTCCCTTCTGCTCCAGCCACCCGGCCGCGCCCCCCC